TAAAGGCAGTGAGCCAAATTTAAATTTACAGCTCCACTTACTGAACAATTTATAGCATAACTGAAATTCTGCTTTTTTTGGTATCATTACGTGCACACCTACAATATGCTTCACCAGATAAATTCAGCTTTATGCCTAATGCCATGTAAAGCCCAATGGCTAATATAATGTACGCATAGTGTCACCACCACTCTGGGTCACAGTGGTTTGTCTATAAGCAGAATGGAAGATATTAAGGGATGAATAATGTCTTCATACCCTGCTGTGTATCTGTGTTGCGTAAGGCAGGTGCAAGTGTCTGCCAGTGCAAGGGGTGGGTCTGAAACCATTTTGGCTTGCAACAAGCACATCTGTGCCTGGATGTGACAGTGATGTCTTCAGTGATGTACTGAGATTACTGACAGAAGTAAACATAAAGATTTGAAATTGGTCACACTTTAGGTTATAAACAATACTATAATGCTAACATGGAATCTATTAACATGGTATGGTTTCTGCTGGCCCTAAAGGTTTTACTTTTCAGAAATCTGTAATACATACTGTAATTTAAGGCACCTTTTTTGATCTACATACATAATCATATTTTGTAAGCTATCACAGCATAGCCTACTTCAAATAGTCACAACTTAACTCTTAAAAGGTCAACATTTAAACTTTGCACAATCAGATTTGTTGGGAGTACAATTTCACCATCCCTGACCAAGATAAGAATTTTACAAACACTGCCAAAAATTTCCTCAATCGTTTTGTATAACAGCCAAGTATACAATGCTTTGTATAAAAACCACATGTACCTCAAAATGTGTCACCTTCCAAAATGAATTTTGAACTTAATTTAACAGTCTCAACCTATTAACAGGTTGGAAAAAAAATTAACATTAGATTCATTACACTAATGGCTCAAAGGCCTAAAACACAATGTCTTGACTGAGAAAAAAATATGTCATCGTTATTTCCTGCATTTTTGATAAACGAGAAATGGGTCAGACATGAAGAGCTACATACTGCAAATTGTAGTGAAAGAGGATCATAAGGCTGCTTTGTCTTCCTCATGGTACACCTCAGGACTCTTGCACTGAACAGGTTATATACAATAATTTAAAAAGGAACTAAATTATTAAAGCTTTGAATTTAATCTGCCAGATGACTGGCTAAAGGTTTCAGAACTGTAATAGCATTCACAATTTTAAAGTCACTAAAGCAAACTCGTGTGGAGACAATAAGGGAGTTGATGGTGTCATTCCAATAGTCAAAGTTCAGAAATGAAAGCAGTTCCTTAGAAATTAATTTTAAAAATTGAAAGTTATTTAGGGTGAAGTCTGAGGGGGAGAGGAGCAAACTAAGAGTAGAATAAAGCCCTTGCATGCATTGATATATATGGTATTGATACAGTATTACACAGTGCTTACAAGGCCATGCTTTAGACTATTGTGTAAGATACCATCAAGCTAAACTAGCTACAGATTCTAGTTTGGCTAGTGTAACACCAATGACTTCCTCTAGTACAGGTACAATAGTCAGAGACTATTTTTTCATGTGTCTTGTAGATACAGTTATGTTGGCAGGTGTTTGCTGTAAACCTAGCTTTAGTTTACTTTACAGACTTTTCATGGAAAGTCTGCAACACAGAATTCAACATGATGTAGCAGTGGAACACACATCTTACTTCTATACAGCCCAGTTGGTTACATATGTTGGTTACATATGTTTGTGGTGGAGAAAAAAGTTTTATTTCTCTTATACCTGTTTATGAAGTAGCAGCAGCTTGGAGAATGGCATACAACTCAGCTGAGCATGCCCTGACACACCCAAGAAGAGCTCCCAAAATTATCACAGTGCTAACATGTCTTGAAAGGGAAACATGGGTGTTTTTATATAGCGCCTAAGCACCTCCCATCAACTTGCAAGGCCATCAGCAGCCTTTTGTGGCAAACCATGGAAGGAATTGTGTTGCTAAAACAAACCAAACAGGAGTAAAGTTTCTCTTGTGACTTCCGATATAAGTGAACTAACAGATCCAGATTCTGTGCAACTGTGTATTTGCCTTGGCCTGGCAAATTGCCCTTGAAATGAACTCTCTGCTAACAGAAATCTTGTGCTACAGCCACTGTTCTGCCTACTGCTCTCTGTGATTAGGGATCGAAGTTAGGACAAATGAGAAACGAAGCAAGCAGAAAAGGGGATCAAAACTCTGCTTCAGCAGAGGCTTCTGAGCAGGCTTAGTTTAGCATTTTTTTCATCCTGTACAGTACACATTCATAGCAATTTTGAAAACAGTCTCATTTAAAACCTAACATCTGCTTAGCTGGTAGCACCAGATAAAAGATCTCATTTGTAACAAACAGACAAATTTGTTATTGCCCCAGTCAATAGCTATTGACTTGGTAGAGCACTTCTGCTTATTACAATCAAATCCTTTTTCTTTTTTGTTCAATAGTCGATGATACTGTAATGGAAGGTACTGCTTACAAACTGATGCAATATATATCAGCAGCTGCTAGAAGTTAATGACTAATGGTTACAAAGAGGAAAGCATGTGCTAAGAACAGCATTACACGTCTATTAATCAACTCTACTGCATCCGATGCACCTTTATAGGTTAGTGGAACTGTAATGTACATCAGATAAATAGTTTCTGCTGTTATTAATCTAAGTTTTAACACAAAGCACCTTTTAATCATGCTATTATTACATAAATAATTTGGCTAGGACAAGGTTCTGTCTCACTTTTACAGCACACCTTTTAGTTATATGAAATTTCTGTTCATTGTTGGCTTGTGCAAGCCTAGATTTAGGATTTAGTGAAATGCAAGGAAACTGTTCTGCTCCCAGCTGAAGCCATGTTATTCTCTAAAAACCACAAATGGGGCAGTATCCTAAAGATAAACTGCCAAAAGAGAAGCATAGCAGAGTGCATGTGTCCATGGCTCAGCTTGCCTCCTAGCTTCTTCCCTGCAGCAGAGCAGTATTGCACAAGTTTGTCCTTTACCATTTATATAACTTGCACTTTGCACACCTTAGGGTGAAATTTGAACTCACTTATTTTTTTTCATTCTATAATTATTGCTGTATAATTGTTTTATTCTTTTTTAAACCTGCCTGACACAAAAATATTTTATTTCAAATATTTTCTACTTATTTTATGTCTTGGAGAGATGCATATTTTCATAGGACAGTGTGACTATAACAGTACCACCTACTATTTTTATATTACCTCTGAGCAAACATTCCAAAAACAGTAATAAAGTGTGTTGACTCCTTAGAGAAAAGCAGAACAGCTAATGATGACTTCTTGACTTAAGGTTGTCTATAATCACTTCTCCTGTAGAAGATGAACAAATACTCTAATGTTGGAGCACTGATTTATCTGTTTGTTTCTGTTTTCTTAATGCAATCTTCATTTCTCTCCAGATTGATGATGAGACATTACGGAAAGAAAATTTATAGATGTGGCAAAGATTAAACAATCATGCCATTGCCAAGTACATTATGCTGTACTCCGTATGCACCATCTAATTGGATTTAAACAATGTCCATAAATCACAGCCATTAGCCTTTTTCAGAAATGAGACATACACTACTAGATCCACCACATGGATCCTAGTCATACCTGTGATACTGGTTAATAAACTGCCCATGTTGGTGAAGACCAGTAGAATTTAATTGCTGCTACACTGTTCATTATGAAGCAAGGAGCTAAATTCAATTAAGTTCTTACAGATTTACATCTCTTGACGAAGATCTCCAATGCTGCTCATCCAGTATTAACTTGTGTTCTTGTTTGTTGTCAGCAGAACAGTTACTGACGGGAGAGCAATGGAGGAGACTAAGCCATATCTTTCCAGAAGTTTGCAACATAAGGGAGTCTGTTAGTCAAGTAACCAAACATTCCCAAATAATAATTAATTTATCCTTGCAATACTGTGCAGAAAAAGAAGAAAAAAAGATCCTTTTCATCTTAGTTTAGAACCACAGAAAGACAGATTTGAATAAGGTCATCCAATAAACCTACTGAAATTCCATTGCGATGACATGACTTCAGGAGCTATAATTTCCTCTTTGTTCTACTGGAACACGATTTGGAAATTGTGATTTCCAAACACAGTTTTTGATGTTGTAAGAAGGTGAAAACAGGAAATATTCATAACATTCACAGTGTATTTACTGTGACAGTAGGAGGACACCATTGTTTTATACACATAACACTTGACGTTTAGAAAGATATAAATACTGCAAATCAGTAAACATTGCTTAGTCAAGGCAATTATTAATTTTGAGAAGAGTATACCTTGTGAGTTTTTTAATTCATTACTGCAAATACTGGCCTGAAAGAAATGACATCCATGTTCTTAAGATTTCCACTTAATACTTAACTCCATATTTCAGCATTTCAGAAAAGCAAATAACCCCGCTAAAAATGCTAGAATTCAGAGGCAAAAGTTATCTCTTGCCAGCTGCAAAAGGTATAAGGAGTAAGACATTTCATAGATTATTCTGGAATTTTAGTGAATAATTTGCAAGCATACAGTACGTTTGAAAAGAGTTTACATCTTATTTCTTTAAGATAGGAAATTGATCTCTTCTGGTACCAAAACCAGTAAAACACAACCAAATATAGAGTGAGTGCTTGTGGGAAAAGAAGACTGTAGCTGCTGCCTGACGTGATGATTTGACTTCATTGTCAACTCAGTTCCATTTATGGTTTTCTGTACTGTATTCCACTTGCCTATAATTAAACTCTACAGTGCTATTTCATAAGAACCCATAAAGACTTTATTTGAATGAGGAGAATTTTTATTAAAAAAGAGAATATTTCTGATTGAAACAGATAGGCTATGAATTTCCTATTATGGTCCAAAACTCTGCACTTTCTGCTGCATTTTATGATTTGGGTAATTTCTAAGAATTGCAATCATATTGAATGTGGAAGTAATGTTTAATTTTGATACTAAATGACACAGAATGGGAAAAACAACAAAAAGCTATTAATAGTAACTTACTTTTTGTCACAACTCCTTCGAGGCGAATTATATTTGGGTGATCAAATTGTCCCATGATACTAGCCTCTCTCAGGAAATCTCTTCTCTGCCTGTCCATGTAGCCACCTTTGAGAGTTTTAATTGCAACAGGTATCTCCCTTTTTCCTGGTGTCTTCAGACGTCCACTGCATACTTCTCCAAACTCACCTTAAGTAGATAAAATATGTGTTAGATCATTCACAGTGCCTGAAAAACTACGGTCCAGTTTGTATTGCTGAACTTAAACACCTTAACTTTCAAAATAACCATTAATAGCTTTCTTAAAAAGTGTCTTTTTTGAATAATTCAGAGTTATTTGTAGTTATCAGTGAAACAAGAACACAAAATATTCAAGAAACTCACACATCCCGTAGAAGTGGATGGAGAAATGACAGATATGATATTCAAGTTCCCAAGTTTCATCACATCCCAGAAAGGCAAAATATTCAGCATTACTTCACAACAAATCAACTTTCCTTTCTGCCATACCATGAGATCATAGGGACTTAAACTTTCACTGAAACAGCCAAACCATCTGCCCTCTACAGTGTTCATCTTGCTGTACTGACACTTTGAGACTGAACTTCAATATCAATAGGTTTGTGATATAACTGAGCATGCTATGAGGAAGGAATGTAATGACACTTAGATTTTAATTCTAATGATGAGAAAATATCTATCTAAAATATCTATTTATAGCAATATCTATAGGGGTGTCATGCACTAAGACCTACACGAAAAGAAATGTTATGAGAATATCAGAATACCTGACTATCCTTTAATTTTAGGAAGCATTAAAAATGCACTTAATGCTATTATGCCTCAGAAAAGCACTTGCACATGATTTATATAAATAGACTTACATACCTACTTGAAATTAATTACATATTTCACTGTTCAGACAGCCAAAGGCCAACAGTTTCAGAAAATCAGAACTGAGCTGTGTAACGAGAGGAACCTCAAAGCTTCTTTCACCTGATGTGTTTGCCTGTATGTAAGGGCCTTTGAAGAATGCATGTATCCTTGCATTCCCTTTACACATTTACTAATTAAGTTTGCATGGAAATCACAACTTTCCTTTGATCTTGAAGCCACTCAAAAGTTATCTAAAGCCCTACCAAACATACCCTAGATGCCTGTAGGTCAGTTTTCAATGGGTCATAATTCAATAAATGAAAAACAATGTTCACAAAAGTATTTCAAAGCTCTTCTCAGTTCAGGGTACTTCCATAGCAAAACTAAATTCTCTACCCCGGTTATTTTGAAATTAGAACTGTTGAAAAAAACCCACAGCCCGAATCACACACAGATATATATTTAAGTGGAGGAAATGATTTGTTACTCCGTCCATTGAGTGCAGTCTGAATTAGTTTTCTTTAAACTTTGAGGACAGAGCAAAAGAAAACAAAATAAGAGAACTCTATCCGTAACACTATGTCTTTAGATAAGAAGTGAATTTAGAAGAGTGAGGCCTTAAAGACAGAAGCTTCACTTCAGAAAATTATAACTCCCTGATGTTATTGGATTAAAATGGATATTGTCATACAGCTTTTATTTTATTAGCTTCTGTTGCTTCCACTAAAATAAAGCAAAATTTTATTAGCCAATAAGATCCAGGAAGAGTGGAGGGATTAAAAAACCAATTTTGTTACTTGTCTTTCACTTCAAAACAGAGACATCAACAAGTGCAAGAATAAAATTAACAGATGCCGAACATAACCTCTGAAAAAATTAGCAGCTTCTTAAACAGCTAACAAAAGCCAAGTGTCCTAGGTCTTCTTTTGACCAAGAAAACCCCAATTTGTTTTAGTTCTACCTAATTTTTAAAAATAAATCAAAGCATGTGCTGTCATCAGACTAAAGTTCTGGGAATCTTTTGACAAATGGGGAAGTAGGGTAGGGAATTTCCTGTATGATTTTGCCTCTTTGGCTCTTAGAAGGCTCTCCTAAAAAGTCTGCTTGCCTGACTACTGCCACTGAAAAAGTAGTAGCTAATTTTTACTTATAAAGTCATAACATATAACAAAGTCATGAAACCTGAACGTTTTGAAGGAGACATGGCACATCAATCTTAAGTTTTGTGATACATCTAGCAGTGCTAGAACACACCTCCAAAGCCATGACCTGGTTGCATCTTACTGGCTTTTCAAACTTAAAAGCTTAAAATGAGAAAAATTTCCAATTTCTTTCTCTTGGTGAAACAGTGAAAAGCAAAAATACTAAAGCCTTAATATCCAGATTTTTAAAGAGATTTCATGATCAATAAACCTGCAAACCTCACTTTTCAGAATAATTTGGAAAGCATAGGTTGTAGAATAAATCATTTTGCTATTATAAAATTATGCGAGAGTACTACAACTTCAGAATTTCAGAAATAATGGCATTCATACCTCAGGGACTGTAAAGGACTGTTCATCAAGTGTTTTGAAATGAATTAAACTGGAAGAGGCAAGTGAAAGACTTACAGTCCCAAGATTTATTATCTGTACAACAGCCAAAGCAGGGGAAGTAACATCATGTCTTCTCCCTGAACTGTTTCTTTTCCCTTTTTTGGATGCCTGATTTGTACGGGTAGAAAGAATTTTCACTCCCCTTGGATATTGGGATTGATAAACTGGTGAACATGAAAACTAACAGCCATTTTTTGGTGACATGATATCAAACAGACAGTAAGTGATTATCAGGTCCCAGAACACACAGTTACGACATTTAGAAACCTAAGGTATGTGTAATAACTTCTAGCTCTGGTTTAGACTAGATGGAGATCAATGATATAATTTAAAGCATTGAACTATTTACACTGAGAAAGAGTTTGACAGTATTTCATGCCAGAGTACTTTTTCTGCACTTTTGTTCAGATGAAGAATTTTGAATGTTTTTAAAGTCAAAGGGGAATGTATTCAACAAAAAGGATTTTTAAAATCTAAGAATCTAAGTCTCATTGCTCAAGTTTAAAGATAAACAAGACAAATGTTGACCCTGCAGCAGTAAAGGTTCATGACTGCATGTGTAATAAGTAGAAGCTAAGAGCCAGATGTCAATGAAGTCAACATCTTTCCTTGCTCCAGGGAAGAAGCTGGTGATAACTAGAGAAAAATGTAGAGTTCATTGTCTGTTCAGTTTTAATAAAGTGTAAATAATCCCTGGTTTAATGATATAAACCCCACTCCTCTTCCTGTATGTTATACAAGAAGAAGCTAATTGAGCAGTCTAGAAACTTACCCTGTGCAAACCAGGCATCCCATTTATCATTCAGTCATAACATATGTGTTATTTAAAAAGAAACAGGAACAGTAAGACTGAAAAGTCTGATATGCAGTCTGGTATAACTACATGGGCTCAAAACAAATGTCTTGCAACACAAACAGTTGCTGTTCATATATCTGAAAGGTCACAGCACCAAATACAGCTCACCTCATTTTCCCCAGTTTTAGTCATTAGACCTGTGGGAGAACTGGCAGAAGATTTAGCTTATAAAAAGAATATAGTGTACTCTCTGTGAAAAACTGAAGAATCGGCTTCTTCCTTGAGTTTCAACATTTTAACAATGAAAGAGGATAATTGTAACTTTTAAGACAGACTTGAGAAAGTACTTCTGGGAATTTCTTCCATAAAGAGGTGCTGAAGCCTTAAATCAAAGAGCAAGAAGTAATGGGGCAGAAAAAAGTGCCACGGACAGGATAAAGTCAAACAATATGATAACAATGTCACTTAGTGCAGCAAGCTCAATATTAAGAGGGGTTGCGATGGACCATCTGAAGAAAACCTGAGCAATGAATAGATGGCAAGTTGTGGGAACCAGCAAAAGGGCACCCAATGATCTTTGTCACGAACCAGTGTGAGATCTCATGGAATATTTAATACTAGTGATAAAAAAAAACCCCAAACTTGGTCAAGACTTATAATATTAAAACTTTGTCATAAGCAGTGAATAAAATAAATGAGAATGGACTAATCAATTTCACCATTTAAACAGTAGCTTGCTAGAATGTGAACTTCATTAATACCTGTTTATTTGGTTGATGTTACCAGGAAAAACATAACATAACACTTTACATAAATTCAGTTTTGCCTTTAGTATTGTAATCTGCTTGCTATTATGAATATTTGATCAAACTGCAACTCCATTGTGGTTCTAAACAGTTTCCCCTAATACCTTTACCCTCCAGTTTGAACCAAGATATCAACAGAAGTTATTTGAAGACTAAAAAAAGAGACCATTAACAGTTATTAATCTGGATAATCTTTCATTCAATAAAATGATCTACAAAACAGTATTTTTCTTCTCAGATGAACCAGATGTAATGTAGAAGATGATGGGAAGCCACTCAGGGAAAGTAACCTGATTACATATCCATCTTGAATCTGGATTTATATGCAGATATTGTTACTTTAATGCAGATCTCTTGTGTCTACACATGGAGTAAAGCATGAATAATTTAGAAAGGACTTTGCAAAGTCTGTATTTTACCTGCTTTATTTTCACTAAAGCACCAGAAGGAAGGATAGTAATTCAGAGAGTTTGCAGATGTACTGGAACACCAAAACCATGCCAGAGGGGAAGACTGGGAGAGCTAAGATCAAAGTTTCAATTAACTAGCTCCATAGAATATAGTGGTTGATTTCAGTAAATGTCCACTAGAAGGACTTGAGAAAAGATTTTGACAAGAGATTGCACTAATTAATTTTTTCTCAAAGTAATCTTGCAAGCTCATCATCCTTTCTTAATTTGTTGCTGCTTAGCATTTGCTATTATTATCTGCTTAATTAAATGAACTTGCAAAAGGAATGTTTATTAAATCTACAACTGAATGTATAGACATATCGACTACTCCTGATTTGATGGTATCATCATCAGATAGCTGCAATAGATTACTCAGCACTAAGTAATATAATGTACATTTCCAACTCACATCACCCAAGATTATAATTATTAAATACTTCAAAACATAACCTGGGTACAGAGTTGGGCAAGCTGAAAGAAGAAGCTGGAAAAAAAACTTGCCTTGATTCTCAAAGCCATCTGCACTGCAACTAGTGAACTGTCAAGAGCTTTTGCATATGACTTTTTCCATTGAAAAAGCAAATTTGAAACTGCTTTCAGGAAAAGATCAGTTTCAAAAATTTCTTGGCCAAAAAGGCTAGGAAAAAAGTTTCAAATATTTGCAATGTTCCACTTTGACATTTTCAAAATGATTTTCAAAATGAAAACTTTTATTTCCTGAATGGAAATATTTTTTGTTTTGAAAAATTAAAGTTACATAAATTCAAAATGAAAAATTGATCAAAATAAAATGCTCAAGCAAAACAAATTTAAGAAATGCATCTACTAATTCACTTCTTAAAAAAATTTAATGTTTCATTTTGAAAAAGATTTTAATTTTTTGTTTCACTTACGTGAAAATTATTAACAACTTTTAAAAGTAATTCTCCTATGATAGGAAATTAATTTTATATCCACTTGCAAAGTTTAATATAGAATTAGACAGAAGGCATAAAGAAAGCTTTAGGACTGCTGTGAATTATAATGATATATTATGTCCCCTAGAAGCTATTGAAGAACTCTGTGAGAATTTGTTCTTTCCATGCCTCAGGCATGGTATTTAACCTGTATCTTGCCTGCATGGAAATGGGTTTAAATCTCACAGCAACCAGTTTGCAAGTCCTGCTAGGCAAATATCGTTGAAGATAGCAGATTATCCAAGTAATTTTAGAAGATAAAAAATATAAAAATGAAATATGTCAAAGCAGGCAAAAATTTACTTCCATGCACACAACAAAAGGGAGAGAGAAGCTGAGTAAAGTATTTTCATAAATGAATTAAGTTGAGAATAAGGAGACGATTTTCATCTGAACTAAAATCAATAAGCTCAGTCCTCGTCTGTCGTATTCAACTCCTTTGAAATCAGCAGTTATGCCATCGCTTAGCATAGTTCAATATGCTTTATAATCTAAGACATCAATATCTGTAGTATGTCTGAAGAAAAGGAAGAAATAAAAGAAATCAGATAGCATGTTTTCTGCAGAAGTCAGCCCTCTGGGAGCTCTCTCAAGCTCATAATTCCAATGGCACACAGTGCCAGCTACATATTATCTAGCATAAGCAATTAGGTAAACTCTGAAGTACTCCAGCAATATGGAACTGCAGTGTGAAACAGAATTTTCTCCCTTACTTCCAGGTCAATACTTTCTCTCCACTGCTATCAGTGTAGTAATGTATCATTAAATAAGGAATCTCAACTGAAAGATACCTCTCCTTTCTTGAGCGACTAAGATATATGAAACAAAGATAAAAAAGAAGAATCACAGTGCAATGTGTCTCCTGATAGTAAGTTTCCTGACAATGCTGGTTAGCATGAGTTCTTTGAAGGGCTCACTATAGGCAAATGAAAATATTTTTTCTTTCCATCGACTCTCTTCCAGAAGATGTAACTGATTTTTGCAGTCTGTTGTACTGTACATTATTTTATTTTGTTCTTGATGGCATTAAAGTTAGAGAAAGTAAATAAGGCATTTACTTAGTACGTAATAAAACAGTATTGCTAAAGAAATGGATAGCTCAAAGATAGGCATTGGAGAACTGAACATACTAATTGCTACTGAAATAAAATTACAGTGAAGTGAATTCAAAACATCTGTGTAGTTAGTATCATAAGTACCTCTAAGACAGTCATTTACAAAATTCAGTCACTCTTAATATATTAAGGACAAAGAGAAATATCCACATTGTGTAAACTGAAGACAGGCATAGCATTAGTGTCTTTCACAGGAGGAAATGAAATTTCAGATCTGGAATTAGAAATCAGGATTCTCTTTCCTACGTTCATCAAAATTTCTGACACAGACTCTTGTGTCCCACCTTCCCTTTCTGTTGGGGCTAAGTCACCTTTTATGCTGTCTACACCTTCTCATTGGAGCTTCCTCTTTCACCTCTCTGCCAATGATCCTTCTCCACACAGCTACAGGAATGCCTGTCCCAAGCCAGCCTTTCCTTTTGTACCTTGTACTCCTATTTTCTATTTCAGAACAACTTTTGCTACATTCTGATCTCATCTCCCCCTCAAAAGAGATTCTGATCTTATCTCTCTCCAGAAAGAGATTCTGACCTAATCTTCCCCTCAGTGACAAGACAATATGTGACACTATGGCAAATACTGAGTTACACAGTGTTTTGAGTATATTTGGAACAAATCAAAAAACAAACAAAACAACCCAAAAACCCAATTCTACCCAAATAATCAATAAAACCTTAAAAAAAGTTTGGGACAAACCTATCACTTCGGAGAATCTGCCTGCCAAGAACTCCTGACTTGAATATAACCATATTTGGATTATTAGCCAAATACAATACCTCATGTACACCACAACTGAGAATGAACTGGGGCTATCAGAGAAATATGCCCATGGCTTGTACTATACTTGATTACTTGCATTATCATGGTGACTTGAGAAAAGCAGCCTATCCATGTTTAAACATTTTTTAAAGTGGGTGTACTTTTACCTGCCCCAATAACCCTCTCAATACGAATTCTTGAAGGATCTATTTCCTTTGCAAACTCATGGACAGCAAGAGATGGGTCTTCATACGTGTCTGGATCAATATATGTTTTGACTCCCGGGAAATGTACTGCAAAAAAGAGAGAATACTATGAGTCAAGCATTCTTTGACATTAATGCACTGTAACAATGTGGTTTTATTTATTTTTTTTTTGTTTGTTTGTGTAATAGGCAATTGAAAGAATTAGAAATAATATATTAAATCTTCCATATTTAAAGTTCCGCAACCAGATGGTAGAGGGTAAGAACCAAAATTACTAATGTTTGCTACTGATTTCACAGAAACCAACTGTAGAATGCACGAGTTGTCCCCATTTGCTGGCAGCACCACGGCCTTCAAAAATTGACTGGGCATGGACTTAAGCATTTCCTTTTATCCTTCAAGCGGCTTTTTTATGTGAAGCTTCTGAAATATTAAAGAGCTGGGTGTTACAACTCCATAGACAAAGTGTAAGACTCTGACATCCCAACACTAGCAAAAGCATTCACAATAACTGGCTGAAACTGTGAGCAAGGTCCAGCCAGACCTTTCTCGAATGTCCTGAGATGTTCTGGGTGACCAAAAGCATGGATATTTCTTCAGGATTGCTGCAGTGTATTGTTACATCAAACATCCTTTCAGCTTGCAATGATAACTGATAAACAACGTTAGTATAAAGAACAGAGGGAACATGGGTATTAGGTTCTCTGAATGTTATTTATACCTCTTGTTATTGTCATGTTTGCCAGCTACACGGGTCCCAGAATTTACACTGTCCCACAGGAACAAAAAGTCAAAGAGCTTCAGAAAACTGTGTTTGGTATTCAACTGATAAGATAGTGTCAAACTCTTCTGCTGTTTTGTCTCTGCCTCAGAGGTCTCTGTCCTGAGGTGTTGCATTTCAGGCAGGAAAATTAAAAGGACAATAAAGTTTTTTGGAAACTTCTCTTTAGGAAAAAATAGCAGCCCTAGCTAAGTTTTAATGAAAATGCTCTTTTGGGTAAGACAAAATACACTTGATTTATTTTTTTTTATTGTAAGCATTTCATTTCCAAATGTTATTTAGTATTTCAGTCTGAAGAGGCTCCTTGGAGTCTCTGTACTTAGCTCACATCCTTAAGGAATGCTTCAAGTACAGCTGGTAAATCTGGAAAATGCAGCAAGTCATAAGAGAAAATATGAGCTCTGAGCTGGTCACTTGAAAGGGTGTCTACAGAGACACCAAGTGAGGGCTTGAAGATATGGGAGAAGCAGATCCTGAAGGCTAACAGTGATTACTGCCAAAGCAGTTTATATTCCCCTTTGCTGCTCCTTGCTCAATTTAGGCAATCTGTCCTTGACTATGAAAACAGTGCTTTCTAATTCACTCCATTCATTTATGGGTGGATGACTGAACATTCCTTTTGTCAAACAGGTCCAATCTTTCAGATCCTTTTCACTAATGATGGGTCCTGGAGGACTGTGCTGCTTTGTTCTCTTCTGATCAGCTTGAACAACCAGAGAGCCAGGTGCAAGACGAGAACAAAAATATTGAAATCCATTTACAAGGCTTTGATAATTTCTGTCTGCTTCCTTGGAGATGGCCGTGGTATGGTGGGTTGGTGCCAGGTTGCTTTGGCAGGCTCCAGCAAGCCATCATTTTCTGGCATGGCTAATACATCTCATGTTCTTGAGTATAGTATGTCCAAGAACTTATGTTGTTTCTCTTGAACTATCTGGATAGGAATTTCTTTAGGCTGCTGCCATGTGGTGATTAAGTTCTGGAAAACTTTCAATTCATTAACAGAAGTTGATGTAGATAATGTGTCAACTTCTCAGGATAAGAGCAGGGTACTGCAGCTGGGTCTAGAGAATCTCTTCTAAAAGAATTAAGTACACCTCAGCCTTCTTCCTCGTCACTTAGTAGCTGAGTCTAAAGCAGCTCATTATCTGATGAGCCTAAATGCATTCGGTGATGAACACATGTTCAGGATACATCAATGTGGGTGGCTGGGCTTCATTAAGTAGTGTGCAACAGCCATTTGGACCACTGTCAATAGAGTACACACACCACACAGAAATGGGAAGGACACTAGACATTGTGGGATGTCATATTATCAGCAAGATCAATTAGGTTATACAATACAGTATTAGGTTCTTGAGTAAATCACAATAATTCCTCTTTATCCTTGGTTCTATGGAATACATACATGAGTAGAGACCTGCCCCTCAAGCCTGATGTTGCAAATGAATGAGAAGCCTCTGAGATGAAGCTTTGTGTCAACATGAAATACAGTCTTCATTTAATCTGGCCTGAAAGACACTGAGTGAGGCTTTTCTCAAATTCAGTCACAGTCTCAGAGGCATATATCAAACTCTCCAGCAGAAAGGTATTCACCTTCTTTCCCTTCTGAACACGTTTGTAAACAAACAACAAACAAATCTTCCTAGGAAGTCTCTTTTATGGGGAAATGTGCCCTTTTCGTTCACAGAAAGAGCCACTTGGTTGCATATAGTGGTGTCACTTGAAAAAAGATTTTACTTCTGGTGACTTAGCTTGTCTTGATCATAGTATTTCCAGGGACGTTATAAAAAATGACAAAAAATAATAAAATTTAATACCTTTTGAATAAATAAAAACTTTTAATAGCTACTCTAACAAAAAATGGTGGCAGTAGTAATTTAAACTAAGTAGTTAAACTAAGCTAAATAAACTGATATACTGCCCATGAGAGATTGCCAGGATTTTATCTCACAGTGAGCAGGAACATGAGGGAAAGCAACTGATTCCACTTTTTATTTCTTGGGTGGCTGGAAGTGTAGATCCCGAGAGGCACATAGTCACTAAAAATGGAATTTTGAGGCAGAAATTAATATGGCCTATACCAGTTTAGAATTCAAAGAAATATACTTGAAAAAGTAATAATTTTTTTTAACAGAACACCAAAAAAACTTATTAACTAGAGTGAATTTGGTGAAATTATTCAAGAGGACATAGAAATAAAAAAAAAAACCACCCTTGATGGTGCAAAAAATAAGGAAATATTCAAATGGCCAGATTAAAACATCAAGGGCAAAAGCTGTACAGAAAACAATGATCATTCTTCATTTAAAACATTATAAAGATATTATATAACACAGTGTTGAACTACTTACAATCTCCATTTTGCAAATGAGCCCTTCTTTTCTCTTCAGATTTCATTTTGGCCTTTATGTACCACTGGCATCTTTTAAAAAAAACAAGTGAGGTTTTAATTAAAATACTTGCCATGCATAAAATAGATTTACATTGTTTTATCTGCACTTTTATGAAAGCCAAAACCTTTGCATTTGGAGTATATGTTTAGTTACAAATCTAAAGAGAGAAACGTACATGAAGAACTACAAACAGATTAGATACAGAATCACAGAATCACAGAATCTTCTAGGTTGGAAGGGACCTTAAAGATCATCTTGTCCAACCGTCAACCTAACTTTGACAAAAATAGACACCCGCACAACAAACAGAAGCATCATCATCGCTAAATCATACCTCCCAGCACTACATCAACCTGTCTTTTGAACACCTCCAGGCATGGTGCCTCAACCACCTCCCTGGGCAGCCCATTCCAATGGCTAATAACCCTTTCAGTGAAAAATTTTTTCCTAATATCCAGCCTGAACCTCCCCTGGCGTAACTTGAGGCCATTTCCTCTCGTCCTGTCGCCTGTGACTTGAGAAAAGAGACCGACCCCCACCTCTCTACAACCTCCTTTCAGGTAGTTGTAGAGAGCAATAAGGTCTCCCCTCAGCCTCCTCTTCTCCAGGCTGAATAACCCCAGCTCCCTCAGCCTCTCCTCATAAGACTTGTGCTCCAGACCCCTCACCATCTTTGTTGCCCTTCTCTGGACCCGCTCCAGCACCTCAATATCTTTTTTATGGTAGAGGGCCCAAAACTGGACACAGCACTCGAGGTGGGGCCTCACCAGTGCTGAGTACGGGGGGACAATCACCTCTCAGGCCCTACTCACCACGCTGTACCTGATACAGGCCAGGATGCTGTTGGCCTTCTTGGCCACCTGGGCACACTGCCGGCTCATGTTCAGCCGACTGTCGGCCAACACCCCCAGGTCCTTTTCTGCCCGGCAGCTCTCCAGCCACTCTGCCCCCAGCCTGTAGCGCTGCTTGGGGTTGTTGTGACCCAAGTGCAGGACCCGGCACTTGGCCTTGTTGAACCTCATCCTGTTGGTCTTGGCCCATCGATCCAGCCTGCCCAGATCCCTCTGCAGAGCCTCTCTACACTCCAGCAGGTCGACACTGCCACCCAGCTTGGTGTCGTCTGTGAACTTACTGAGGGTGCACTCGATCACCTCATCCAGATCATTGATAAAGATGTTAAAGAGAACTGGCCCCAGTACCGAGCCCTGTGGGACATCACTCGTGACTGGACACCAGCTGGATTTAACTCCATTCACCACCACTCTCTGGGCCTGGCCCTCCAGCCAGTGTTTAACCCAGTGGAGGGTATTCCCATCCAAGCCATGGGCTTGGATGGGAATACAAACAAAAACACATCAAGGTTGAATGATTAGTATGAAAATGACTACTTAAGTTCAAGTTTGCTGCAATACTTTCTTTCCAAGTTTGACTTCTCCAAGGAATCCTGATACTTTAATAATTAAATTATTACATCCCCGCATTCTTGTTTGCATACACTGGTTTGTGCTAATTAAACCTTATCCTATTGACTCATATGCAGTGGGTCAAAAAAGCTCACATTTTCTTCATAAGATAATAGTTTATATGATTTCACCATGTTTCATGAAAAAAGAAAATATTTCTTCACATCAGGACCACTTTTTTTTTTTTTTTCTTTTTCTGAGTAGCTCTTTGCAGGCTGAGTCAAGCACCGACTTATTATTTCTTCTAAGACAGCAGCTATCATATGGGATAAACAACGTGTAGCCTGCTATGTGAACATGGTGATTTAGCATATGCCTGTATGGTTGCTATAAAATTGCAAATCCTTGGCAAAAAACACAAAACTGGATGTTCATGAATAGCTAGCAACCTTACATGACAATGCAAGGTTATGCTGGAGAAAACTGCCACATGACAAGTTTTCAGGGTCCCTCTACTGAAATTTCCCTCACCCTGAGTGCTGTGTACCTGCAGGAATATTAATGCTGATTTAGAGGGCAGCATAATAGGTGCATCTGTTTCAGTCAAGAAAAAACGAAATATTTTCTCATGTTCTTAAAGCTCTTTCTCACTCACTGAACTGCCTAAGAAGCATGATTGTGAGGGAAATCTTTTGCTTTAAGGGCTATGCTAAGGGCGGTTGGGGCACTGGGCCCAGAGGAGAACTGCAATGTGTGTGGAGATGTGCTTTGGTGCACAGACATTTAGTTCCAAGACCAGCTTGAAAGAAATGACTGGCCTCTCTGTGTTCATTACCAGCGTTCTAAAATAAAGTGAACTAAAATTATAGATAGCATACCCAGTAAAATACTAACAATGGAGATATGAGAAATACGTGAACATACCACCTCATTTCAATGGTTCATTTAAACTACTGAAACAGAGTAGGAACACCTACAAATTCATCCATTACTACAGAGGTGATGATGAGCACCTGAAAGGCAGAAACTTCTGAAGCTGTCATGGTTATGTACTGTTATAGAGTGAACAAGCAACCAGTGGATTCTCAGCTTCTGTGGAAATTTTTAGATTGTACACCAGTTGCTATGACCGCTAAGCATGCCAGTGCCATTTTTAGGACCTGAACAACTGGTATGCAGGGTGCCAACTGCCAAGAACACTGAACACAAGCACTTATACTTAAAAGTGTCTGCCCAAGGGAACAGGCAAAGAAACAAGGTTTTAAACCTGTCCAGTCCTCCTAAGTATGGATGTGGCCCCAAAGTTTGACTAGAGAAGCCAGTGAGTAATCACCAGCAGAGGAGTCTTCCAGCTCCACATTCCCTGCTAGTCTTGGCTACAGAACAATCGGAGAGTAATAATTTCTGCAATGATAAAACTAAATCACACTGAGCTTTAGCATCGCATTCCTGGAACATAGCCAAGATCCCCGTCTCACTGCATATCCTGCACGAAGTCTTTGTCGCTTTCATTTTTCTATCTGCAATTGCCAGCCGTGCTTCCTGCTTGCTCTTAGTGGATAATCACCCAGCAAAGTGCAGAGGCAGGTGCTCATTTAACCCAGCCTCTCCACTATGAATAGACTCATCAGCAGCCCTGTGACTTGACAGCTCATCAAATTGCTAATTCTAAACAGTGAAGCAGAGCACATCTGTAGGGTACCAATCCCATTTTTCAAGCAGAAATTTACCTCCAGTCCTAGAGTAAATTGAGTATTTATTCAAATTTTTCTTGCTCTATCTTCTGTGGAATACACTCTTATCACTGCATTTAAGCAGCACTTCAATATGAATTCATATCTTACATAATTGAAATGGTCCCATTGAGTAAGATGTTAGAAAGCTAAGAGAATCTCTGATATCCTTAACATTAGCAAACAGGAGGATTAAACACAGAAAGAAACCCATTTCCATATTTTTTTCATTCCTGAGTTTGAAGCGTTTGAGTTATGTTTCAGAATTCCATGTAAGGATTCCACACAATAATTTTTTCTGAAAGTTTGTCTTTGTCTGAATAATTCCTCTCTCTTCTGAAAGACCCTAGTGTTTGTCAGTGTTTGTAATTCCTGTAGGAATATTTACTTAGCTTCTAAGATTATCTAAGGTCACAATATGTTCCAATGTTAACTGCTCCCATTAATTTCAAAGAATGTTAGACTTCACTGGTTTTATTATTTAGCAGAGAGATCATTAATTCACATAATGGTAACTACCGTAGTGCCATATTTGGTTGTTGGGGTACTACAAATAAAACCTCAGGCTACACTGATAGGACTTCACTTTCTTTTCAAATTGGAGTTAATGCTATACCAACAAAATACAAACTTAATTACAAATCTGAAAGTGCAGCGCCGTCTCTTGGCACAGCCCCTTCTGTGATGACTGTTATCACATTCAGAGGAATCAGTGTAACATCTTTAAGTGTAAACACAGTGTAAACCAGGACAGGAAAAGAGCAGAATCCTATCCCAACTCTGGATTTTTTCTGTCCCCTAGCCAGGTAGAGAACAAGTCATATGAGGAGAGGCTGAGGGAACTGGGCATGTTTACTTTGGAGAAGAGGAGGCTGAGGGGAGATCTTATTGCCCTCTACAACTACCTGAAAAGAGGTTGTGGAGAGGTGGGGGTTGGCCTCTTCTCACAAGGGAATAATGACAGGACCAGAGGAAATGGTCTGAAGTTGCGGCAGGGGAGGTTTAAATTAAATATTAGGAAGAGTCTCTTTACTGAGAGGGTAGTCAGGCACTGGAACAGCCTGCCCAGGGAGGTGGTGGAATAACCAAACCTGAGGGTATTTAAGAAACGTGTAGATGTGGCACTTCAGGGCATGCTCTAGTGCCCGAGATTGTTGGGTTGGGTGTTTTGTTTTGTGGGGTTTTTTGGTGTGGTTTGGTTTGGGTTTTTTTTGTGTGTGTGTTTATGGTTGGACTTGATGATCTCAAAGGTCCCTTCCAACCATGAAGATTCTGTGATTCTGTGGTAAGAAGGAAACTCCATGGAGAAACCTCCTCACATGGAGGCTCTTCCACCAGCTGTTTTATGTGTCTAAAGGAGGAGAGCGGAAAAGGGTAGAGAGCCCACAACCCCCCCTGCAGACCTTACTGCAGGAGCTACGAGCCCGACTCCTCTGCTCAAAGGCCCACACCTCTACAAAATATGAGTCTGCTTTTAGGCCTTCATGATCCATGGGAGCACTGCTGTGCCACTGATGTCTCACAGAGGAGACAGGGACATAATGTCTTTAATGCTTTTAAATTCTGCTTTGCTTCCTGGTAGAAGCAGGTGAAGTCCTGAAATCACACAGGAAACGCCTGGAGCTCAGTGAAAAAGGAAACAAGGAACCATGGAAGCAGATACTCCTGTGGGAATTTGTGCTCCAGCAAGGACTGATGGTCCAACCTCTTTGTGTGGTTTTAGCAAGTCCAATTAGAATTTGTGAGTTCCCTTAAAACCTTCAGTGTGTAATTGAGCATGGCATCTGGCCACTCAAATCAAAATGCTTTCTCATCCAATTTGCATAATGTCATTATTTGATCCTGATCAGATCATCAACTGAAGGAAGGTGGACAACCAGCATTGTACTAAAAGAATTTTAAGTATAAGAATCAGGGTAGTTATATAAAAAAAATCATTGTCCAGACTGGTGAATTCCCCTGTCAGTGCAACAGTATGGCTATAAAGTAGATTTAATTAGGATATCTTCAATCCAATTAAAAAAAAAACACAACCCCCCAAAAAAACCAAACCAAAATGCAATAAAACAGGACCTTCAGGAATCTATTTTCTGCTCACCAGTGATATCACAGGCAGCAGAATTATTCTACTGTTTTGGAGTAAAGTTTTCCTTAGTTTAATTTTATTGCATAATTCCTATATTTTTCCCTAATAGACACAGAAATTTCATATAAAATATATAAATGAATACGATTTTTCCTACAAATTTAATACAGTAAAAGTAATAAAAAATTGCCCACTCAAGTGCCTTCAGCAAGTACATTGCCAACCCCAAGACATCAAAAAGTCTAAGGTTATACCCTCCAAAGCTTTGCAATCGATGGTTACGAGATTTTGGAAAAAAACCTGTGTTTTTTTGTTTTTTTTGTCTTCTAATGTCAGAGCCTTGATGGTGCAGGTACATTGTATTTTTCATTTCTCGCTGTGCAGGCAAGAGGTCTAGAAACTTTTAAAACAGCCAAGTTATTTCCTGATTTCACATAATTGCTTGGCTCCCCAAACTGGGTTTTTACAAAAGCCAACTCTCCCAACAGAAGTGTGAGTATGAGCAGTGCTGAACAAGGATGACGTTCACCCCACTAGGCCTAACTCTTAGCACTGAAAAGTGGTGAATGATTTAACTATTATTCTTAAATTCTTAGTTTTGGATGACTCTGACCCTGAGTAAATAAGAACACTGTAGTGTTAATTACCTTCCAGTGATCAGGAAGAACAAAGTGAGGATGACCAGGAGAGTGAATCCACCAACAGCAGCGGTGGCAATTACAAGAATCTGTCCCTGCTCTGCAGCCATATCAGAAGCTGAAAGAGAAGCACAAAGAAAAGAGGTTAAAACTCCATCACCCAGCATTCTTGCCGAATGCGTGATAACATTTCACTGGTCAAATGTTAAAAACAGTTACTCTGTAATAGTTTCCTTGGTACTTAGCAAGGACGTCAGATGCAAATGCACCTGTGAAGTGAAAAACCATAATCCATGTCTCAACTATGAGAAAGGGCAGAAGATGTTTACAGGTTTTTAAAATGAAGGACCTGGCATTACCAGACACTTGCAATTTACTAAAGTTTGAATATGACAGGATTTTTAACACAGAATTAGAAGATATTTTTTCTTTAGCTTTATTTAGCTTAATCCTGCAGCTAATTCAGAATTTCTCTCCATCCAACTGTCCCAGTGAACTCAGCAGCAGTGCTATGTATATAAGAGATATCAAACTGTGTTCAGCAGGAAGCAAAGCAGAAACAACACAATATGTAGCCTCACACACACTTCTGTACGTCTGGTGTATATTTTTATTGTCACAAAATCTATACAGTTTTATCTATAAAATGCTGTGGTAATTGGCAACAAAATCACAGAATGATATGGGGTTGGAAGGGACCTCTGAAGACCAACTAGTCCAACCACCCTGCCAAAGCAGGTCCACCTAGAGCAGGTTGCACAGGAACATGTCCAGGTGGGTTTTGAATGTCTCCAGAGAAGGGGACTCCACCACCTCTCTGGGCAGCCTGTTCCAATGCTCTGCTATCCTCAAAGTAAAGAAGTTGCTCCTCATATTTAGGTGAAACTTCTTATACTCAAGTTTGTGTCCATTTCCTCTTGTCCTGTCACTGGGCACCACGAAAAAAGACTGGCCCCTTCTTCTTGAAACCCACCCTTTAAGTATTTATAGGCATTAATCAGATCCCCCTTCAGTCTTCTCCAGACTAAAGAGTCCCAAGTCCCACAGCCTTTCCTCTTAAGAAAGTTGTTCTAGTCCTCTATTCATCTTTGTAGCCCTTTGCTGTATCGTCTCCAGCAGTTCCCTGTCCTTCTTGAACTGGGGAGTCCAGAACTGGACACAGTACTCCATATCCTGCCTCACCAGGGCAGAATAGAGGGGGAAGACAACCTGTCTCGACCTGCTGGTCACACTCTTCTTGATGCACCCCAGGTTGCCACTGGCCTTCTTGGCCACAAGGGCATACTGCTTGCTCATGATCATCCTTTTGTCAGGATGACTCAGTTTTGAAAAAAATATATAGATTTTCTTATGCCTCGTGTTTTTCTCTCTGCTTTCTGTAGGACATTTAGGAGTTTAAAAAGATCACCTGAAATTATCTGGTCTCTAGACACTTGCTCTTTTTATGAATTTATTCTGTATAATATTAAATCTTTACATTGACAAAGTACCTACTTACAGTTCAGTTGGTCCTCACTGAGCAAGTACTACCTGAGCAGAAAAAGAATTAGGCTCAGTTTTTTTCTCTGTCTCCAAACTTGGAGTCACTGTCTTGTGACTCCAAAGTTTTATTTCTTAAATTCAGTTACACTTGAACATTTTCCCCACATGACATTTACCTAATTCTTTCTGTTTACTTACCTAATTACTTTCTGTTTCCATGAGAAACATAATATTTTTCCGAACGGGGAATAAATAATTCTATTCAATGACCTCTGGCAACAGTAGTAAATGTACCAAAGAAAGTACATTTTAGATTTATCAGGAAATCTAAAATATTGATTTTTTCTTAAACTTGCAAACTGTTCTATAAGCAAAATCTTCAGCTTTCTTTAGTCACCAGATGATTAAAGCTTAGGGAAATCACCTAGGTTGTTGCAAAGAGAATGCTTAACAGGCTGTATTCTTTCACTTTGCAGCCCAGTACAATGCACACACTGCTGCCCAAAGCCTCATAAAATGCTGTTTCCAAGAAAAACATTTGGCTCCAAAATATTATTTGTGAGTGGTTTAGAAATTGGCAGTGTAAACTTGCTTTGTAATAGTAGTAAAGCAAATAAAAACAATAGTAGTTTATGTCAAATTTTCAGCAAAACCAACTTGTTAAATTTCTGACATTAGGTTTCTGTCCGTATAATTTAATGAAGTTATGACTGGCAGTAAATTACAAGGCATTCAGTATCTGTGGCCATAAGCTCTCTGCAGAGAAGTTAGATATATACATCTTCTAATAAATGCTGTAGCAAATACTCACTGAATAGCTAATCTCCAAAATGTTATCTAGTGATATTATGGGAGTAAATTCTAGCTCTGCATTGTGTTGTGTTCCTCAGGGTCAGATTTAGGTGGAAAACTGCAACATAACAAACATCATGCCACACAAGTAACAATGCAAATAGTAACAGGCTCTCCAAATCAAAGTCTGAATACTATTTTCAGACTAGCGGGGGGTGTGCTAAATGTTGCAAAGATCGTTACAGCCAGACACAGTTTGAAGTTGTAAATGGAAGAGAAGGTTTCAGATGAGTCTTACCTTGTCCAGCTCTAAAATGGAAGTGAGAGGGCAAACTGCAGCCCCCCCGCCCCGTTTTTTATTTTCAATAGGAAAAAGAGGCGTGCAAAAATAGTGAATTTATCAGGAGAAAAGCAAACCGTAGGCTCAGATAAATTAGCTGTGGTTTTCTTCAACAGACATTCATTGCCAAGGAGACAACCCAAGGCCTTTATTTCTAAGAATTAAAGGTACAAATGTAGGGACTGATTCCATGGTGCAAAGAAGCACTCTGCAGCTATTGAGATGAAGGAATTCACATTTCCTGGATCATTTCTGCTAAATGGATCTGCTATTTCTTGTTGTTTTAGCTAAACCAGAATGCAATCTATCAGTTTAATAACATATATTTTCTATCAGGAACCAGAGTCAAATTCATGAAGGGTATAAATTCCAGACTGACTTAGTTCTTTCCACCTCTAAGCAATATGATTTGTAGCTCAGACTGCACATACTTTAAAAGTGATTATTCTGTTTCTCTTGTTTGTATTTTACTGTGTTGGCAGAGGTGCCAGAGTCCAATATATTAGAATTTTTTTTTCAAGTAGCCAAATTACTATAAGGGGCTTTCAAGCCTGGAACTTCTTGATGACCTTAATTTACTTGTCAGATAAAAATGTCAAATGACAGACAAGTATAATTTAAAAATGTGGATTTGTTAAAAACTGACAGAGAGGCAGGTAAGGCAAAATGATGGAAATACTTATTTTTGCTTGAAGTGATCCTTCTAGAAATCAATAAAGGCACAGTGCAGTGAAAAACACATAGATAAGCACATGTGTATGCGCATACACAAACTGCTGACACGCAGGTAAAAGGTTCCCTAAAACACTGTCTAGGCAGTGAGAAGACAGTAATCAGGGACAGTTAATAATTAAAACTTTTATAGCATTTTGCCATTCTAAATTAAATTCTGCATGTCCTTCCATCTCTCTGTTCTTTTCTTGTTTCTCCAGCTTTCTCTTAAGGTAAAGTTCAAGTTGCAAATAACAAGAGCTTTAACATGTATTAAGCTGTGGATGCTCTTGAATCTTTTTTTGTCGTTTCCTGCTTTTTCTTCCTTCATTTTTCCTCTCCATCAGCTATGCATATTGGTATATAAAATTGCATTTCTTCTCAAGACTATTCTTGATTATGCAAGACAGAAAAGTTCAGTTTAAAAAAACATTATGATAGGTTGCAAAGTCAAGCAAGTTCCTTCAATCTTATTTCATCTCTTTGTGTGTACATATTAGAGTGCTGCATTTAAACATAGAAGTTCATAGCAATTTTTTCCAGAATCTCATTTGTTAGACAACATGGCCAACATTCACCTAGCTAAAATCAGTATTTTGCTGTTTCTACACTGTCCAGTGCATGGTCTCATATCTGCCAACTACGCACCCCTCAAATATGTCCATTGCAGGGATGATTAGTAGCTCTATGATCAGGGATGAATGTGGCTGTGTCATGTACGGGGCCATTCTCCATTTGATAGTTAGAGTTGATAGGCAAGAGGGTGAGGAAGTGGTGGCACAACAGAAATATGTAAACCACTAGCAGTGCTAGGACTCCTAAGGGAGCTTATTACCTTCCTAACCGGGCTGGCTGGTTTCTCTGGTAGCATGTTTCATTCTTTCTGCCTGTCTGTTCAATAAGTTCATTTTGACAAAAACATCCTTTAAAAAATGAGTAGCATAAGACAAGGAAAAGGGAGGATTTATTATTTCACCATACGGATGATTAGATAGTATAGTATAATGGTTAGGTGTCAAAATTCTTCAAGCACATTGTAGCTGCAACTAATGTAATTAGTCCAAGCAGTGATGTAATTTTAAAACTGCACTATGCACTATACATGCACGCAGAAGCATATTAACCAGATAAACCCTTCACTCCATTTATTTTTCATGCTTAACTCAGGTTATATGCTCGAAATAACATTTAAAGTGTCTAATTGCCTGTTTCCAACTTCTTTGCTTGACACCATGACCAGAATCCCTTCTACATCCAGCCTAGTGTTAGTTCTGTCCCCACCCCTCTGGGTTCTTCACCTAAACGTGTGAGGAGGAGCTGCACTTTCCCTCCTCTCTGGGCTGAAGGGAAATATCCCACAGTTTCTTCACTTCTTCACTGAGCAGACTGGAAGAAATTGTGTAGATAAAAGCGAGAATCTTCCAGCTCTGTTCTCCTTTCTTTTCTTTGAGCCAATCTCTCCAAAATCTTTTAAAATCTTTTAAAAGGTTGTGTATTTGGTATAAAAGGGCTGCTCACTTCTGTCTCTTAGCTACATCCTTTAGTTATTTCAATTTGACATCTATCAGGCAGTGGACCTTCCAGCAGACTGAAAGATAAAAAAGTTGACAGAGAGACAGCTAGACAGATGATACTGAGTAGCTGTAAGACAGATAAGTGTGGATGCTGAGAACTGGAACTCTAATTAATAGACACAAACTGACTGTCAGATGGATTTACAAGGTATTTTAAACAACAGTGCTTAAGAACAATAGGAAAGAGAAATATAAAGTCTAATTAGGGTAACCTTTACA